GAGGCCAGTAGATGGCGTGGCAGTTACACTGCTGGACTCCCATATGGCTGACTGTGGTTCAAGTCCCAGACCCAGCAGCTTAAAACTCATGTTGGGCACATGTGTGTACATGCCCAAAATCCCCAGAAGAGAATGTAGGAGAAGGGATTGCAGCATGGACATCCTCTCTGGGGGGAGGGAGATGATCCTTTACTTTCTGTCTCTCTATCTCTGTCTCTTTAGCAAGGGCATGTGCCTTATAACAGAAATCTCTCTCTAAAAAATTATGTTCACTGGTAACACCTTCAAATTTGTCACATCAAATTGTATATTTGCATCCTAATGAAGTAAAACAGATTAAGAATAATTGAATATCAAATTATCTAATTTCTAATAGTGGTCTTTAAGACATATTAGTGAGAAATAGAGATGCCATTTTGGGATGTGGAGTCCTACATACAACTATCTAATCACAGATCATAGGCAATCACTTGCTCAAAAAAACTTTATTTCAGAATTCTGGATAGGTATATACTTTAATAAGTTAAGAAAAAGCAGATGTTGGGGACCAGCAGGTGGCATGGTGATTAAGGTGCTAGATACTCCCACATGGCCAACCACAGTTCGAGTCCTGAACCGAGTGGCTTTTTTTTCCCCTTAAAAAAACTCTCTCTCTCTCTCTCTCTCTCTCTCTCTCTGTGTGTGTGTGTGTGTGTGTGTGTGTGTGAGAGAGAGTCTGTCTCTCTCTCTGGTAAAATTAAAATAAGTAAACAAATAAATAAAATGAAATAAAGTTTAAAAAAGAAAAAGCAGATGTAGTACTGCAAGTCACTGCAAATAATACAAGGTTGAAGAGGTATGTGTATGTATGTTCATATATGGGAGGAAGCTGTACCACTGTGATACATGAGTGATTGTAAATACTGATAGAAGAGAGACAAACAATTTATTCCTGTTTCTGATCAGCATACATAGATAATCACAGGGCTTCTTCTTTTATTTTTTAAAATTTTCAAAGTCAAATAACTTACAATCTCACTGAGAAACCTGTCCATGAACTGTATGTAGGTAAAGAATTGACTATAGAGCAATAAGCAAATACTTTAGAAAAGTCTTTGCCTGGCTAATTCTCCTAAGTAATTTACCAGCTCTGTCCTACTGCAGATTCTATCACATTTTCTCTTGCCTAACTTTAAAGAGGGGTGCTCTGCCTGGATGCCACATCCAATTAGGCTTCCAACTTATCTGGGCTTTGACACATTATGTAAGTGCCCCATAGGCCAACTTCATGAGAGGGGAAAACGTGTATGTATGGTCTGACAACGCAGTTATTGTGAGGATTGCTGGGTTTTTTTTGTTTGTTTGTTTTTGTTTTTGCTGGTCCCACATTTTTATTTTACTTTTTAAAAATTTGTTTATTTATTTTATATTCTTTCACTGAACATCACCACAGCATAAAAAATGCAATTTCCTGTCCAGAATACACTGTAGAGTGGTTTAATCATACATGTTATCATCAACAAATAATTTTCCATTTCTTGTTGTATGTATATTTTCCCCTATTTCTCATCATCTGTCATTTCCCACCCTCCTCCCACACCTTTCTTGAAATTAAAAAATATTTTAAAAATACCCATTTCATGACCACAGTAAGCTATATTGCCTCAGCTAGATGTTATTTTATAGTATATTCATAACTCATAGCATTTCATGCCTAACATCAACATGTGTTCACAGATATGTATGTATTAGCTGAACTTGCTATTGAAAGTATTTAGATTAATTAAAATATTTTGTGAATCAATTGAAATGTTGGAAAAAATAAAGGAATGGAAAGCAACTTGCAGGTACCAGACAGAGGATTGGCATTTTCCCAGGAAGTTCTTTCACTTAGCTGTGTCTAAATGTCTCTGATGAGATCTGAAACCCATTTCCTCTTCAGCAGACATTGCATCATATTCCTCTGTTTTGAAAAGTACTCTTTTGGGGTCCAGCAGTTAGCGTAATGGCTATATCGCTGGACTCCCATGTAGTCGACCGCGGTTCGAGTCCCGGACCCGGTGGCTTAAACTCAAGCCGGGCGCATATGCATACATGCCCAAGATCCTGAGAGGAGAATGGAGGAGAAGGGATTGCGGCATGGTTATCTCCCCTGGAGGGTGATATCTCGCTTTCTGTCTCTCTCTGTCTATCTGGTGAGCGCACGCACCCTATAGCAAAAACAAAAACAAAAACAAAAAAACACCTCTCCAAAAAAAAAAAAAAAAGTACTCTTTTAATTACTAGGAGACAGCAAGAAGGTCATCACTTGGCCTCACATCAACGGTGAATAATGCTCAATCACATTGCCTTTCCTCAGATATCTTAGTTTTTAGTTATTTAATATTCTGGAGAACAAGGAAGATAAATTGGTATAGGAGATGGGTGACTCAGGAGATTTTCAACCTATACTGAGAATTAATAATATCTTAGCCGCTATCCACTTCCCTGCCCCTCTCATCTATAAAAAAGTTAGGCTGTTTGGTCTTAAAAACCTTCTACTTCCCAGAATCTTGCTCCTAGCCACCTGATTTCTATGTGTCTGTTTTAATTCTGTTCCTTTTTTTGTAGGCTAGTTTCTCAAAGTCTGGCCCCAAGGCTTGTTAAAAATGCATGTTCTCAGATGAACTGAATCTTAACTGCCGAAGAGTAGAACCAAGGCATCTGCATTTTAGCAAGCTTAATAGAGACCCAAATCTGAGAGCTTTCAAATCTAAGACTTCCTTGAGTGATAAAGTACCAGTACCAGGTCAGTCATTTTGTTAAACTCTTACCACCAAACTACAGTCCTAGCAAGTATTCACTGTACTTTCCTGTTTCTACTGTCTGTGTTCTTGATCTTTCCTTCAGCTTAAATTGCTCTATCACATCTTGATCTGTTGAAATCCTGCCTATCCTCCAAGGCCACTATAAAAAATGCTGCCCCCTTTATGAGAGCTTTCATAATCTCTGGCCTGGTTGTGATCATACCCATAAACACTTTGTATCAAAAATATATTTATTTCTTATTCATTCCATAAAACTGCCAGGCAGTGTTTTATAACCTTTATAATTCACCTTCAAAGTGCCCAGCAATTTTGCTTGTAATGGAAACTCAACTCAATTCAACTACATTTCTTGAGAATTTAGGGCTTAATATAATAGCAAGAGTTTCTTATGTGTCACATATGCTATGTGTACTTTTTCTAAACAATTTGAATACAGCTCCATTTTATTGACTATTTTTCAACTTGCGATTCATAGTGGATCTCAAACTTTATCTATGTATGGTTAAAACACTAGTGAAAATATTAAGTCACTTTTGAGAGGTATTATAAAAAGCTGTATCAGTTTAGAATTACATGTGACCAAATATATGACTATTAGTGTCTCCAGATTTTACTACTCTGGGTGTGTGTTTTCCAACTCTCTTTTTAGAAGACCAGCAACCATTTTACAAAGTTTCATTTTGCACATTAAATTTCAAATATTTCACTTCGTAAAAATCTCAAGCTATGTTGCAGTGGGAAAACTATCTGTTTCCTGTTCACAGTGCAGACATGGGTGTGGGGATTTTCCTCAGCTTTTCTGAATGCCCACCTTGTGTGGGCATTTGGACAAGAAGGGGGATTTCTTTTTTTTGATGAAAGTTATGAGCTTCCAAGTTTAAATAAAATACACTAACATCCAACATGATCAGATCTTTCTGGCCCTTCTCAGTTTTTTGCAGTTGTCTTGCAGTTTTCTCTTTGAGAGTGTGCTCTAGCCACTGCTCCACAGGATTAATAAACTGCAAAAGTAGAGGAGTAAACCAATCTTATGGGATCTAATACAAAGACCAAGGCTAGAATGGAAAATAAAACCAGTACCCAGGACTGATCATTTTGGGTGTGTGCAGCTACCTAATGTAATGTTATTTCAAGGGACCAAAAAGCTTTCCATAAGATAAAAGGAAGAAAAAAGATTATTTTCCACTTGTTGGCTGGGTCCCAATGTCCTTATTCCTAAGGATAAGCCTTTGGCCCTATAGAGAGAGTTTAAGCTGGGAATGCCAACGTTCACCTTTAAAGGTGGGGTTCAGGAGGACCAGCAGTTGACATAATGGCTATGCCGCTGGATTCCCACGTAGCCGACTGTGGTTTGAGTCCCAAACTCGGTGCCTTAAACTCATGCCAGGCACGTGTGTGTGCGTGCCCAAGATCCAGAGAGGAGAATGGAGGAGAAGGGATTGTGGCGTGGCCATCCCCCCGGGGGTGATTTCTCACTTTCTGTCTCTCTGTCTCTCTCTTTCTGGTGAGCACATGTGCCCTGTGGCAAAAACCTCTCCAAAAAAAAAAAAAAATTAAAAAAAGAATAAAGGTGAGGTGCAAGGAACTTAAACCTGGCAACCTTTCCTGAGGAATGTCAATAGCCCATACAGACTTATCATTTTTGGAGCATATGAAATAGATCTTAAAGATTTTGCATCCTTTGCCTTACACCTCACTTACTGTATCAGCTTTTTTTCTCTTTGTAGTTAGTAGATTTTTTTCTCTATAGTTATTTGTGTTTTACTTATATTTTGCTGTCATTTCCTTTGTACTATATTCAAAATATATGGCATTTTGTTTAAATACCAGAAGCATAATACAGAAGCCTCTAAGCAGACACTGTGGTCTTCAGGGACTTTAGAAAGTGTGGAACGATGGTGGGAGATGAGAGAAAGTATGAGGAAAGGAGAAAAATAGAGAGGCAAGACATTTATGGGATACAGAAAAGATGGTTATCTGTTGATCATAACGTGTATAATATCTTCAACTGGATTGGTGTGAAGTGTATTCATGTTGGGTAAATTCACTGTACAAGCTGTAATGATGTATAGTGATTGAATGTGTAAAATTAAATTAAATTAAGTTAAATTAAATTTAAAAAGAAAGAATCCTGGTAGAAAACTTTTTAAAATATAGGATTTTATTTTATTTATTGTTTTAGAGAGATTTTTGCTATGAGGCGCATGTACTCACCAGAGAGACAGAGATAGGTGATAAATCATCTCCCAAGGGGGATGGCCATGTTGCAATCCCTTCTCCATTCTCCTCCTGGGATCTTGGACATGCATACATGTGCCCAGCATGAGTTTCAAGCCTTCAAGTCCAGGACTCAAACCATGGGGAGTCCATTGATATAACCCATATGCATCTGCTGGCCCCAAAATTTAAGATTTTAAATATTAAAATGCAAATGGCAATAAATGAATTAATTACCTCTTAGTACTTACTATAAAAAGTGCCCATGGGAACCAGCAGTTAGCGTAATGGCTATGTCGCTGGACTCCCACGTAGTTGACCGTGTTTCGCATCCCGGACCCGGTGGCTTAAAACTCACACCGTGATTTCTCGCTTTCTGTCTCTATGTCTCTCTCTGTCTGTCTGGCGAGCGCACACGCCCTATAGCGAAAATCTCTCCAAAACAAACAAACAAACAAACGAACAAACAAACAAACAAAAAAGTGCCCATGGACCTCTCAGTAGTTACCCTAAAAAGTGCACATAGAATACTTTATATCCGAAGAGCTAGGTGATTAATCTAAAATATGGAGATCTTTTAAATGATAGATAATAGATGCCCTCCTTAGATTAGGCTTTGAAGGAAGTATGGGAGAGAAGTACAAGACATGAATTACTGCCATCCCAAGTGATTGAATATAATATTCCCCTAGTGAGACAGTTTTGTCTTCTGTTAGACCTATCTTTAGTTTCTAGATCTTGGTAGCACATTCCTTCTGGTACTCCAAATGAACAGGATTCTGTTTGTTTACTTCTCAATTTTCTACCACATTTCCTATGCACTGGGGGTGGATCCCATCTATTAGGTAAGACTCTTGAGAGAATTTACTTGGCCCTTCATGTCAGGAAGTTAGCCTCCAAAGTCCTGGAGCAGTGACCACATGCCAGGAACCAGTACTGTGGGCCCACACTTCTCTTTCCAGTAGCAAAATTCTCCTAGCTATTAAGAGTGAAGTGAGTCACAGGCAATTCTTGGCTCTATGTTACTTGTTATTAACACTAGAGAGTCATTAAAAATGAAGGCGGCTCCAGGCTGATAATGCAGTCCACACTGTTAAAGACCGTAGTGCTGAAAACCACATGACTGACCATGGCTCAGATTTACTATTTTGTTGACCTGAAATGTTCTGGGTACGCACACAAGTGCCCAAGTTCTTGAATGGCTGGAGGAAGGAGATCATACTATGACCAGACCTGGTTGAGGGTCTCTCACTCTCTCTTACTGCTCTCTACCATAAATTTAAAATAAATTAAATGAAGATGGCTGGACTCTCTGACTACTCTTCCATCAGTGATGGCAACTCTTTGTCTGATATATGTCCCTTGGTTTAAGTGGAAGCAGAGAGGGTAGCAATTCGTTGCTAATGTACTTCCAGTTGAGCTCCTTCTTCCTTTGTAAATTACTACATTTGACAACAGAACTATCATTGTAAAATGTTATATGAGTGTCTGTTTCCCTGGAACCATCTCCAAAGGAAGGTACAGGTGTGAGGTGGGGAGTATACTCCATTAACCTCAAAGACTCTTGTGGCAGATTGATTTTACTCATGTTTAATAACTCAATTGGTAACACAATCTCTTGGCAGTCACTGTACCCCAAATCTGGGATAAGAATGCCTCAGGTATGAAACACTAGACATTAGATAATATTGTAAATCCTCATCAGAACTGTTGTCACATTTATCTAAGATGGCATTATATACATACTGAAAAGAGATGGTAAATCAGATGGGACACTTGCATATGGCTTCCTTTCTTCCAACAACAATCTTTAAGGTACTAGATTCACAAAGATCCAGAAATTTTGCTTTCCTCTATGACAGAGATGAACTGTACTAAAGGATCACAGATCTCAACTCTAGCTTAAGATTAGACCAGTCCCTGAAGCCCAATGCATGGCAATATTTGACCGGAATTTTGTATACTTGTGTTCACTGCATAATGTTCTGTTACTAAGTAATTTTTCAGTGAGTGTCATCATTTGTAATTTTTGGTACTTTTCTGATAATTCTTCATTTTATTAGAGTGAGAAGTAATACTATTTAAGTTAGGATCTAATGAATGAGGACCAGAAGACCAATGTTGTGTGCTTTTGTTGTTTGGCTTGCTGAATGTAGTGATGGTTTCATAAGTGTATCCATATGTCAAAAACAAATCAAACAAATTAAATGTGTGCACCTTATTACATGTAAATTATACCTCAATAAGGTGCTTAAAAACAAATAAATAAATAAACACAAATATTGTACATTTTTTGGTAGCCTGTAGTTTGAATTGAAAATATCTACAAGGCCCATGAAATAGCTATTCTTACATAAAGACTATGAAATTTTATTCTGGATTAACTCATAAGACAGAGTGGCATCATATACTGAAAGTAAATAGGCAAGCAAGTAAGGAAACTGGTTAAGTGTAAACTTTTTGTACCATTCCAGCATAGTATCAGTAACACTCAGCAATATTGCAGAAAGAGGAACAAACATTTGTACTTTATCTCTGTTACAGTATTTTGACATGAGCAATAGTCCTACTTCCTTTTTTTATGTTAACTGGCATGACTTTCTTATTTTAGACTGACATATTTCTGCAGTTGTGTTTATCAAATAGAGGGTGAAGCATCACATGAAGATGTGTGAAACTTCAAGTTTTCTCACTTCAATGACATAAAAATAACCCAAATCTTCAAAGTACTATTCTCTCCTTCTAGCCTGATCTCTTATACCCTTCCAAGTGCCCTAAGCTTCCACCATGCCTGACTATACTAGCATACAGCATGCACCTTGATGTCTCTCTCTTAGACTCTAACTTGATTGTATCAATTCTCTATCCTCATCTTCTCACAGAATCTTTGTCTTATTAATCTGTGAATGTCCTACAACATTTAAAATATATCTTTGATAAATGTTCATTCGTATACATTAAGGAAATGTCTGTTAAATGGACAATACAGACATCTCTGAATGTTTACAGAACCATTTTTTTTTCCAATTATCCAGTTCTGTATAGTTTTTGTGGTGGGACATTTAAAGGCCATTCAAGTTATAAAATCTAAAAACACATTTAGTAATTTGTAGGTTTTTTTTTTTTTGGGAGAGATTTTTGCTATAGCGCGCGTGCGCTCACCAGACAGACAGAGAGAGACAGAGACAGAAAGCGAGAAATTACCCCCCAGGGGGGATGGTCACACCACAATCCCTTCTCCTCCATTCTCCTCTCGGGATCTTGGGCACACACGCACACGTGCCCCACGTGAGTTTTAAGCCACCGGGCCCGGGACGCAAACCGGGGTTGACTAAGTGGGAGTCCAGCGACATAGCCATTACACTAACTGCTGGTTTCCTGTAGGTATTGTTTTAATCATTTATATTTGCTACTGAAAACCATATAGAGAATGAAAACATCTCTTAAAAAAAACTTTTCTTTCTTATATGCTGAGAATTATACTCAGATTTTAATTTTCTTTTATAGACTTGTCTTTTCTGTATTCCCTCCTCCTAATAAGGAAATTTGCTCCTCCTTATTGGGCATCCGCTAATTAATAGAAACAGTACTCTGAACATGGTTTCATTGGATTAATTATGATTTCCTACATGATTTTCCAAACATGATTACACTGTGTTCACTTAAGGTTTTAGGAAGCAAACTGTGGGGAAAAAATTAACTTCATTAACAAACAAGAACAAAGTACCTCCTTCACATTCCCTCAAGTTCCATGTTCATTTAATGTTTAAAAAATCATCCAAGTAAAAATGTACCATCTCTGTAATGACCTAAGGCAGAATATCTGATTCAAAGTAGACTCATTGCTTTCTTTTAAAAATCTTAACTCTTGAGAATACACATTTCAGAAGTCACATTATATTGTAATCAAAGAGACTAAAAATGAAAGCAAGTTCATTTGAAAAAGCATCACCTCCTCTCTCCATATAGATACTAAAATGGAGTAGAGCACATTACTTTGTGGCAGTGTGGTGTTATTTTTACTTTCTCTACCACAGCCTACTGCTTTCATATAGCAGGAAATGAAAAGTTCTTCCCCACAACAGTCAGAAGACTCATCAAGTACCTGAAAATGTGCTAAACAGGTACCAAAACTTGCAGTTTAAAAAAAGATAATTTCTTTTATTATTAAATGTACCTGTTAGTTGACTCATTGCAATTTCTTACCTCTCCATGTACTTACCCACTCAAAGAGTAAGGCTGGACTCCTAGACACCAGTGGGCTATGGAATTAATTTGGGTTAGAGTTAGTTTTGGAGTAATTTGGGTATTAGCTCATTATTTATTTACTTCTAATTCCCTTCTTGTAAATGCATGTTGTAAAAAGCTGAAGAGAGAAGATGTTTCTAAACCCAAACTGGTAACAATTTTTTTCCTTTAGTAAATGTTATTATTTTCAACATTTGATTGGTTTTTAATGGCTTTATTTCATTGGCGTAAAAGTGAACTGTCCAGATAGTTTTTGAGATTCATTTTGACTGACTTCATTGCATATCCTCCTATTTTCTTTGTAACATTTTAAATAAGTATTAGAGTAATCATGTTTACCTGTAAGCCATGGTAAATTCAGATGCTTCTGTATTTAACAACTTAAGTTTATGTCAGGTGCAAAGAGATTGGAAATATCACTTATTGAAAACTTGGAGGGTCAATTATTTGTTTCAGCAACATAACGGTGACTATATAATTGCAATTAAGCAAAGTCTTATTGTTTTTATTTTAACATGATCATTAACTTATATCATTTGTTCTGTGACTGGTCTCTAATCTATTTACCTATTTACATTTCTATCTATCTACCCATCCATCAATCATTTAGACAAGCTCTTACAGAAGGGATCAGAGGAAGGTTATAACAAAGTTAAAAATTCTAAGATTAAATTTAACTAAAAGTGAGTCCCTTTTCTTTTCTGGTCCTTCCAAATACTGGGTACATTATGGATAATACGAATATTTCAAAATTTCAACTTTTCTGTTCA